TAAATCACATACTTTATTGAAAAATTAAAATTGTAGAAAAAATATGGTGAATTTAAACTCTAAATTTTAATTATTTATTTTTAGCATTGTTCGAAAATCGAACACTCAACCCTCCCCGTTCAGTTTTTCAATTTAATTATAATTTTAACTGATTAGAATTTATTTAAAAGAATAAAGGGACTTAATTTTTAAAATTATTGAATAATATAACACTTTTCTTTTACTGTTATACTATTCTAGAATCATGGAATTTCTTAAAATACAAATTTTATTATTTGTATTGAATATAAAAAAATTATCGAAATTCCATTAAGTTGTTACTGGTCAGTTTTTTCTTATATTTCTCTATCGGAACTTAAAAATTCATATAAATTCATATATGTATGTTAATAACATTCCAAATTTCGTGAGATTTCCCTGTACGAAACAAAAAAATATTTTAAATAGGTATGTATTTAAAAAGAAAACATAATATTTAGTTTGAGTTGAAATTTTTTGTAGATTCCAATAAAAAAAAAAAAACTTTCTCTTTCTTTTTTTTATAACATCAATTAATTATTATTACGGATTTAAGTATTCAGTTGTTTTGTATACATACATACCTACTACTACCTACATTTATATTGTAAGTTCGTATCCTACAAAATTCGAATTAATCAAAGTGTTTTATGATTTTTGTGATTTTTTACTACCATTCCTTTTTTCTTTACGATATTTTCGCAATAAAAAATAGTGTGAATTTTATTTCGCACCAAAACTAAATTTTTGGGTACGATTATACGTAAACTATGTACATATGTACATATGTATGTTATTATTTAGAAAATACCATAAATAAATTTATAATTAATATTGTACAAATTATGTACACATTTATACATACGTTACCTATTTCTTTATATTTACTAGATCCCATTATAACACTAAGTTTTTATTAACTAATCCGTACATAACTTTGATTAAATTACGACCAACTTTCGGTCTTTTGAAATTATTTAACATTTCTTATTTTTATTACAAAAATATCTATACATTATGTATAAAATATAACAGACTTACAGACATTTTTTTTTTTAGTTTTATTTTCTTTTCATTATAAAGGTTATTTTGTTATTGCAATCAGCCGGTGGTATTTTGTCATTTTGAATATTTCCGGCTACATTTTTATGTAAAAATTTCTCACTTTGTAGACTGCTTTTTTTTTTTTACTTCTTCTTTGTTGTTGTTTTAACTAAAATGAACATTAAAATAACAAATACAAGCAAAAGAAAGAAAAAAAGAAACCAAGCAAAAAATTAGTAAATATCAAGCTACAAAACACACTACACACTACTTAAAAAAAAAAATCGAAAAAGAAAATACGGTGAAAAGTAACAAACATTTTTGTTGGAATGTTTGAAAACTGAAAACATGAAATTTGGGTCAAATTGCCGCCACGCGGAATTAATTACCTAATTTCCTAGTAATTTCAAAGTCATGTTTTTATTCACGTTTTGTTTTTCTTTTCTTTTTTGGTTTTCTCTTTCCTTTAATAAAATTTTTAAATTTTTGTGTTTTTAAGTACAAAATTCAATTTTTAACCTTTCATAAAGATTTTGAATATTATTGCATTTATATTATACATACATATATAGATACCAAGGCATAAGTATGTAATTTTGTATAAAATATTATACGCATTTATTGCACAATTGAAATTTAAGTGCATATTATATGATTAACTATTATTAAAACAAAAATGGCAATAGAAGGAGCAAAAATTAAATAAGTATGTAATTAAAATTAGAATCTGTTTTAATTTCTACTCTGTGAAAAACATCCGTATGTATATGTGTAATTATAAAAGTCAGTAAAGATCTTTAAAAAAAAATGTTCGAGGAACATGCTCAGGGGACATCAGTTTGCTAATTTCAAATTCATATTGTATGTTCATAATTATTTTACATATACTCGTATAAACAACGAAGCAAAATTTTTGAGTTTAATTTTTTTGCGTCAAATTTCAAAATGCAATTTCTTAACACAATTTTAATAAAAATTTAAGTGTTTTAATTATTTGAGAATGAAACTGGTAGGGATTAAAATAACTTATGAACTGTTCAAGAATAAACAAATTTCCTCAAAAACCAACTACATATGTAACTTTGTTGAAATATTTTTCTAAAATTTTACATATCTACTATACAAATACAATTAGATTTTATTGTGATCAAAGCGATATACAATTATTTCTACAAAACAAAATTTATTTTTCGTCTCCTGCTACTATTTCACATTTACTAATATTTTAGTTTCAAAGATAATTGAGTTCAAACGATAGTGCGATAGGTAGTTAGAATGTGGAACCTTAATATGCGAGAGACCGATCAATCGCAGTTAACAATAAAAAAATACGTGTAAATAAACAGATTTGCCATTTATTTCAAGAATCAGTCAGATATTTCATATTTATAGGAGCAAATTTAGAAAAGGAGCATTTTTGTCCTGCAGCATTCCTTTTTCGGCCATTATTTCAATAATTTTGTAATATTTTTGTAATAACTAATAAACATATAAATTCGTATAATATGCAATTGAAATATTCGGAAATTTTAAACCCAAAAATCTTTGGAACGTTTTTGTAGTTGTATTTGTATTATCACTTTTTAAGTCTTTCCACGTTTTATCTTAAATTAATTTACTTATATTTTATATGGTACATACATTTACTGTAGATGTACCCTTTCACTTTTTATCTTAATGTTATTTTTCAATTTTATTATAGTAATTAATAAAATTTATTTATATAAGTACATACTTTACACGTAATTACCACTTTAATCTTGAAAATTTTCCAATTCAATGTTATCAAATTTATTAATGCATGATTAAATAAATATAAATTTTATTATTATTTTAATTTAAACTTAAAAAATTTTTAGTTTTCTGGTGTTGATTATAAAAAATAAATGAAATTTCCTAAAAATAGCAAAGATGCACATTCAATTAATTTGAATTTTAAATAAGATGTGATTAAGGAACCAAAGACTAAACCCATACAAATAACATCCTTTCTATAAATTGATTTTGATTCTTAATTTTATTAAGTACTTACAATTAATCAATTATTTGACATTGTGCTTTCATAAGTATTTAGATAAAAACAAAATTCTATTTTGAAAAAAATTAAAATTCAAACCAATTTGTGGGTGAAAGAGACAAAGAAAGAAGATTATAAATTAAAAAAAAAAAAATATTTTATTCTTTTGAATAAAAAAAAGAAATGAGAAGAAAAAAAAACAACACAAATTTAATTATGAGGAAAAATCATAAAAATAGATTTTTCTATTTATGTCCCATACAGGTTAACTTACTACTACATACATAAGCTTTTCAAAAAAGAAAAAAAAAAAGCTTTCCAAAGTAATTTGGAACTAGGTTAAAATTATTAGAAAAAAATGAAAAATGAAAAAAAAAAAAAAAAATGAGTGTTTTCTTTTCATGGGTTTTGTGTCAAGGTTGTCAGAGCAAATTATTTTTTTCTTATTATATTATTTTTTTTTTTTTTTTTTTACATTAGATTCGTTTTACATTGGACATTTTTTCTATACATAAGAATTTGCAAAATTAATATTACAAGTGCACAATGTTTTGCAAACTAAAAAAAAATATTTATTTTGTAATAGAAAATTGAATAGATTTTGTTTCTTTTTTAGATTTTTTTTTGTAATCGATGTAGACATTTACAAATACTTATACAAAAATTTTTTTAAAACCCTACCTTAAGTCATAAAATAATTTGTTTTATAAAAGTAAATTTAAATTTAAAAAGTTAAAGGTCAAATTATTACTATTAAATTATAAAAATTGCACCTTACGAAATGATACATGAACTATTCATAAAACAGAATGCATAGCAGCAAATTCAGAAAACAAACAAAACATTATGAGTAACGTGAAGTTTCTGACTTCCAATTAAATTAAAAAAAATTACGAGCACAGAAAAAAATTGACACTGAAACAAAATAAAAAGACTGTCAACATACCGATCATCAGGTACTGAGAATGTAAGAACGATACTAATAAAAGCGTACAAATTAAAACGAGTAAGAAAAAAGCAATATTACGAAAAATTTTAGCTACTTTGATAAATCTATAGATTTAAGAGCATCCCTACAAAAATTAGGTTGAAATATGTTAAAAAATTAGAATCCGCACATTGTTGCAATCTAGTAACTGGCTCATTCCTTTTATAATAAGTGTAGAATGGCTATTAAACATTATACCACTCAATTGACCTAAGATTCCTTACATTATCCCTAACAGAAATTCATCATTGCAACGAAGGCGTTACGATGGTCCTCGGCACAAGTTGATTGATAATCACTATGTCAGTGACAAAGTCGCCCGAAAAAACTGTAAATTAATCAACATCTAATATTATAAGACGGCTCAGACTAGATTTGCTGTTACAGCAAATTTAACAGCAAATTTCTTCTGAACAAATTTAATACGAGAAACATTTAACAAGCATACTATAAATTTGCTTTATAAATGATGCCTTGTAACATCGGATCAAGAAACTACATAGTTCTCTTAATAAATTACTCTTCCCTAATAAATACATATATTAAATGTTGCAATATAAAAGGTTTGCAAAGTATTTTGTTTACATTACGAAATATATTTGAAATTGAAATCGACGAAACCATATGATTTAACATTTGCATTTAATTTTAACTTTTGACAATGTTATTTATTTTTAAATTTATCAACTTCATTATAATCCAGATTCGAAAAATAAGTCAAAAAAATGAACTTTAACAAAGCTCATGTAATAATTGTAAATAAATTTAATTACTCTGCAAATTAGAATTAAAATTTTTATAAAATTCCTAAATTTAATCACATTGTAATTTAAGAATTTGTTTAGCTTTTTAAAAAGTACAATGTTTACATACATTCATATATGCCTTGAATTATTTAATTAACATTTCTTAATTTTATTTTTCTATTTTTAGGTAAGTTTTGGAAACCGAAAAACAACACTTTGTAACAAATGTAATCGATGTCAATCGCTTAATGATCAAGTATGTTGCATTTTTTTACTACTAGTAGTGATCGTAGATGGACCCATTTTGTAGAAGTTGGTTTTAAAAATTCAATATCTTAGTTAAATTTTTATATTCAATATTTATTTTAATTATTTTCAATTATTTTTATTAGAAAATTTTTATTTTTCTTAATTTTTTTTTTACAAATTTGCACTTAAAATATATTTTTATCAAAATATTATTGCACCTATTAATTAATAAATATAAAAGAATACAATTTAAATTTAAATTTAAAGTTCAAAATTTAATTTAATTATGAACACATTGTACTTATAATATTTAAAAAAAAAATGAAATGCAATCACTTGTTTAACTAAACAATTGACAAAATTTTAATTATTTTTATTGCATTATAAAATCATTTATTTCTTTAGAATCATACACAAGAATTCATTCAATTTTATAATTCAAAAAATTCATTTAGAAGTAAGTTTAATATTTTCTAAGTTTATTTTTAAATAACATTTTCCTTACACTTTCATTTTATTGTGTTATAAGTACTTATACATTTTTGGATTCGAGAATTTAATTAAAACTTCTTGTGTTTGCTTATTGTGTAAGGAGTTCAAGAAATTTTAGATAGCCCTATATTTTTATTATAATAATGACCTTATCACATTTTAAATCATACTTAAAGATTATAATAAACAAAGGTTATTAAATCATTACTCATTAAATATCATCCTCATCTCAAAAATCAAGAACCGATAAGTGCATAATTTATATGTGCAAAAACCACATGATGTAATTTTTAACAAATAAGACCAAAAACGTAAAAGAATAAAAACCTTATTTTTAGTGCAAGTAGAATTTCAACCCCAAATGACAATTTGTATATAATATGTATCAAATAAGTGCAAAAAAATTTTTTGACATTGATTATGACACATTTACAAAAAAAAAAATTGTGAACGACATCTATGAAAAAATTTTTGCACTAAATTTAAAAAAAAATAATAGCAAAATCTTTAAATAAATGGCAGGACTACATACATTGAAAATAAAATTATGAAAATTCTATGAAACTAGTAACATAACCTCAATATGTACCATTAGTATGAGTGCAGATAACTGAATTTAACTAGTGCAATAAGTAAAGTATTGAGCATTTACGTTGAAAGTATACGGTGTGTAGTTTCAATTAAAAAAATATTCATTTTAAAGATAAGTGTAAGAAGTTGCAAAAAATTGCACTTATGGGCACACATGGAAGAGTGCAAATTTGCAAAAGTGCAAAAAATTTTCACGTCCCGAACAATTGCACTTATCCGTTCTTGATTGTATGAAATTCTTTTGACAATATTACTCGTAAACTAATTGATTTTTGGCAGTTGCAAAATTTCAAAAAATTGTAATTAATTTTACAATATATAATCGGAATCAGTAAGTAAGTATAACATAAAATTCACTTATCAAATTTGACATTTACTTCAAATGTTTAATTTTGTTCTTTTACTTGTTAAATGCTTTGAAAATACAATAATTACAGACAGAGTTAATTTGACTGACAGTTAAAGAATGACACAGTAGATGTCAAATAAAATATTTGAAAAAAATCAATGATTAGCGATTTATTTTTTTTTTTTTTAATTTTTACTTTGTAAAATTAATTTTTTGTCATACTTGTATATTTTTTTTCCTTATCACAAGATTGTTGAAAAGCTTTTTTGTGATAATGAAGTTAATTTAAAGATCAAGTTGAAGGCAAAAACAACAAAAAATAAATAAATTTAATCTTGAGAGTATTTACACAATTTATGCTCATGTCATGTATTATTTTTTATATACACAAATGTCAAATAGTCTTCAATTAATTGTTATTGTCCAAAAAATATTGGAATTCATTATTATTGTTTACTAAGGTTTTTAATTAAGCTTTTAAAATGAAAAGTGTACTCTTGTGTTTTTTTCTTAAGACCAGGCCTATATGTTAAACAGATTAGAATAATAGAACAGTAAATGAAAATTAATAATAAAAAAAAAAATTTTTTTTTTGATAAGAAATTTCTTTTAAATTTTCTTAGAATAAACCAAAATAATAATTGTTGATAATAAAATATATTTTTAGCTTTTATTCTCAAAATGAGTTTTTCAATTGTATGATGACATCTTTTTTAATTATTTGTAGCAAAACCTAATTTTTATTATGAAATTACAAATGATTTTTAAAAAAAATTAGTATTCATTTTAAAAGCTTTAGCAAATTTAAGCTGAAATTGTTGCTCACTACATAAGTAAAGCGTTTTTGCCACTAACAGGATGCTTCCACAGGTTTTACTGTATGTATAACACTTTTTTAAACATCAAATTTTTGAAATTCCAATTGACGTTTCTTGTAACTGTTATACTATACTTTAAAGTTATTGTAATTAATCTTAATGCTAAATTTATATGGTTTATTTTTTAATTTTAATACTTTTCAGCAAGTTATCCATGTCTAGTATTTCAGAGACAGCACTATATAAAAATACATATGTATTTGTTGATTAGGTCCTTTCATTTGTTTTCGCTTGCCAAAATTTTTTAACATTTTAAAAAGACACGTAAACGGGATTTATTGTTTTATTGAGAACAGGATGTTTCGCATAAGGTTACAAATGATATCAGGGATGATTCTTCAACTAATTTTCAGCAAAAAATCGTATAGTTGTTAATACCTTCGGAAGTGTGTACAATTTTTAATTTTGGATCACTAAAATAATATTCCTAATACTTTAATTTCATAAATTGTTCATTTATATCACAGGAAATCATGAAATTTATGTAAAAAATAAAAAAAAAATTAAACTTCAATATTTTGATTTTATAATTTAATTCAAATTTAATATAAAATCTATTACAAGTTGTAAAAACAAAATTATTTAGAATCTAAATTCTAGTGCATTTTTTTTCATTTTTAAATTTATTGAAAGAAATTCAAAATCTTGCTTTAAATTCATAACTCAAAGAAGACAATCTACATAAATATTATGTACCAAAGAGATTTAATTAATTTAATGGAATCACCATCGGAATTACCATATTTATATCCAAAAATTCAACCAATAATTACAAAAAATGATTATATTGTAAAGAATAATTCAATTTTAGAAATAATTTTAACAATTGCAATTGGAATTTATTTTCATTATATGAAATTATCAGTATTTGATTTGAATTCATTGGGATTACAAAAATTAGAACCAAATTTACCATCATTATTATTTACAATATCAATATTATGTATAACAGTAAGATTACGTCCAAGTTTTCTTAATTTATCAAATTGTCCAATGATATTACGTTGTGTGACTTCAATTGCATTTAGTTTATATGTAACAGAAATTGCATTAAGATGGTTATGGATACCAATATTGAAAACGACACTTTACGAATGTTCAGTTTTAAATAATTTATTCTTACAAACAAGTAAACAATTCTGTAATAAAGAAATGCCAAGAATATCAAGTTGGTTGGAAAAAGATGGTTTCTATGTATGTAGAATTTTATTTGCTAGTTTCATATTTATTATGATGATGAAAATTATTGATTTATGGAATGATATTAAAGAACTTCTATTGAGGAATTTTTAATAAAATTTTTTAGTGTAAATATGGAACTTAAATTGGTTAAAAAAAATTTATTAAATTAAAAAATAAAATTAAAAATAATTAAAAACGAATTGTTTGTTTTAGGATTTGAATTTTTGTTTTGTTTGAGTTACAATAACAATTTTCACATCCAATTTCGAATCCTAGAGTTAGACAAAAGGAAATTAATAAATTCTCACTCCCAATTTTTTTTTGCATTTGTTTTTTATAGCCTCAATTAGCAGTTAATGATTTAATCCCTAAAAAGTGTTAACAGAAAATAACAAATTTTAATTTCGGGCCTTCCGAAAAATGTGTTTGTTTGAGAGTTTGGGTCTTTTTATTTTTTATTTTCTCTGATATTAGAGTTTAATAATGCAACATGTTGATTATTTCTTTCAATTAATACACATGTATGTATATTAAGGCAAAATTATTATTAGTCTTGCGTCTAGACATATTGATGCTCCTGCCATTAAGTATGAGTTTAAAACAAAAAAATGTGTGTTGTGTTTTCATCATGGTATGAAAAAGTTTTCAATTTTCATTAGGTATAAGATTGTGAAATTTTAATAAATAAAGAATTGTACTAATTTTAGAAATTTAACAATATTTTTAATAACATTTACAAATTATTCTAAATTATAATGAAAATGTGTGTGGAATTTTTCTGATTTCTACACATACATATATTCATTGTGACTGCATATTAATTTAATAACTCAATTTGAAATTAAATAATATGTAATAAAATAAAATGATTGATGAAAGCATAAAATTTCCTTTAAGAATTAAATTTTTTTTTCCTTATTTTTAACAACATTTTACCTGCCACTTTTATTGTGTCATACAATATACATATCGGGTGTTTGCTGAAACGTTGACATAACCCAAAATTTGCAGATATGGGAGAAGAGAATTTTAAAGTTTTAAGATTAATAAATTTTTTCTCGTTATAGAATTATTTTATAATGTATTGTAAGAAACAATTTTCAAGGTAGAGAATTTGTGAGAAACAGAAAAGAAATATGTGGTGCTTATTGGTGTGTGAATAACTAGCAAATCACATTTTCTGAGTTATGTCACTGTTTCAGCAATTGAGCAATAAGTATATATGCGTATACATAAGTGTATATGTAGATATATTCATATAAACATGTATGTACATATGTTTTAGGTAAAAAATAAATTATTTACGATTTTTCTAATCGTAAAATTTTTATTAATATAAAAAATTAATAATTGTATTGATAAAAATTTATTATCTAACCATTATCGATGAATAAAAAACAAATTGTATGTAAAATAATAATTAGAATAAATACATTTGCATACATTAAGAATATTTTACATACATACATATTTACAAATATATTACAGAGAATCAAATCGTTTTCACAAATACAA